TTGTTAAAATTTTATCGTCTTGGCACACATCACATTAAGCAATCTTTTGAATTTTGAAGGCGTTTTCTAAATTTGACGTCTGAAGGATATCTGATTGTCGGTTTATGCGCTTTTACTAGCGTTTTAAGTAAAATAGATAAATCCGCAATAGGTCAATTATTGTAAATTTCAGATGATTTATTTGTCTAACATTATACAATCTATGATTTTAATAAAAAAATATTTAACATCCTAAACAATCAAACTCGTTAAGTCGGTCTATTATCGATTAGTTGATTTAAAATTTACACGAGCCTAATATATTTTTCAATCAAATATAATTCTCCCTCGAGTTAAAAATAATTTCAAAGTAAAAAAAAGTTAACAAAAGTATTATCGCAAAACTGATACACCTTTCTCAGCGAGAGAGTCTCTTTCCTTGCGCGTTTCTTTTGCTTTTGTACGAGGAAGCCGAGGGACGAGTCATTCCCCAGGAGACTCCTAGAGCATAATAAATGTCCGTCTATCTGGCCATCTCTTATTGCGTTCCGGCGATATGGTGTAAAGAAATAAAGCGAGGAAGGGACCGAAGGCATAAAAGGGTGATGGCGAAGAGTTTCGCGTAAAAAGGAATAAGATACGCGAGATAAGGACGTAGAAGGACGTACGAAGACAGGCGCTTATATGCAGCGCGTGACGTAGATTGCGGCAAGGAGGATGAAGGGAGGAAAAGATCATTGAAAAAAAAGCGACGGCGAGAAAACCTATTTTACGTCAAAGTCGTTTATTCCCTTGAAAAAGGAATTTTTAGTACCGTTGGAAGATCGTGACGCTCGTGACTTTTATCGCGATCGCAGCTTACTTTGAATTCTCACGTTACACAATTTATTACGTCAGTCGCGTCATTATACAACAAAATAATATATAATTGAATGCTTATTTCTGTCTCTCGTAAAAAGAGATCCCTCCTACAAGATTTTATCCTCCCTTACAATTTTATCTCGTGAAAAACGCATTTGTCGAGTTTCCTATGATAAGGTAAATAAAAAATAAGAGAGGACGGTCAGCGAAGATGTAATATTGACGCGGAAAATCGTTAGAAACAGAACGACGAGATACATCTAGAAAAAAGACAAATGTTAAAATAAAATAAAAAAAAAAAAAAAGAAAAAGAAAGAAAGAGCGAGCATTATTGCGGAACTCTGCTCTACTCGTAAACGAATAAATCGGTACACACTCTAACAATAAGTAGAGACTGGAGTAACTTGACGACGCACTCTTTGTGTCCACCAGTAGTTGTAAAAGCGAACGATACTTACGGAGAAAAAGGTCGGCAGTATCAATAAGACGCAAGATGGCGAGAGGATACGGAAAGAGAGATAAAAGCGCCGCACTTATTGCTAAATCATGAACGAACCGGAGTAGTAAGACGGGTCTTTTTACGGCGACGCAAAAAAGCGTAGAAAATGAACATATAGATGTAAAAGAGACACAGGGTAAATATAAAGAGAGCGCAGGGCGGAGTAGGGAAAAAGATAGAAAAAAAATAACAGAAAAATAACGAAAACGATAGTAATCCGGTACCGGTTAAATGTTTGCATTTCGCGAGCAAATTAGCAAAGTCTATACGCGAAATTAATGAAAATATAAAATTATTAGCGGGGAAAAAAAGTTGACAGGTAGAAAAAGGAGAAATCACAACCGGAAATAATATACGACAAAAGAAACGTAACAGGAACAGCGATAAAAAAAATTAATACTGTATATATACATGAGAGAAAGGGAAGCTAAAAATTAGATTCTTTAAATAAGAAATGTAAGCGAGTGTTTCTTTATACTTTTCTTTTAGTTTCTATAGCAAATATATATCAAAGCTTTTAAAAATACTTTCCGATTCAGCCTGGACAATTTCAATAGGTAATGAGATTCAGAAATAACATGGAAAAATACAGCAGCGAGACGGGGAGAATAAACGCGAGAAAATGCAAGGATCTCGGTAATGCTGCAAGGTACATTGGTAAAGCCGGCATTCGAATGTCGTTAACTGCGGCAAAGGATTGCGCAGACGTGCAATCGTGTGCATGTGAAGAGTTGCAAGAGGCCAAGAGACGGAAAATCACGTAAACGGATCCCAGACAAATCGCGGGGTATGCGAGGAAAATGCGAAGAGCGAACCAGAACGGCGAACTAAGGGGATGATGATAATACTTGTAAGCTTATAAAGTGGCACGCGCGCGCCTGCCAGTCGAGTCGGGCTGGACGAAGGGCTAAAAATCGATGCCCGGCCTCTCGGTAGTATAGAGAGAGAGAGAGAGAGAGACGCGAAAGACAAACGGGGTCAGCGAGTGAAAGCGTACTAAAAGACAATGTATAAAAATCGGAAAACACGATTAGATGAAAAAAAAAAAAAAAAAGAGATTGAAAACTCTGTATAATGGTTGTTATACCCGTCGCTTGAGTCTCGTGTCGTCGCAATTGCATGAAATACGGATAGGTACAGATCTCTTTATAAAATAAACTATCCTCCTGTGTTGGGAACTGAAATAAAATAAAAATTTAGAAAAAGGAGGATCGTATAGAAATAGCAGAGAGATATATTGAAAATTATTTCGAAACATTGTATTATAAAATATGATGATAAATAAATGCGCGATGAAAATGCGTAACAAGGTAAAGGAACATCAACATGATAAAATAATAAAAATCGACGGGATTTTTTATGAGAAGATAAAAATAAATAGCGTTGTGATCGTTAACGTCGATGTGAAACGCTGTAGTGTGTGTGTGTGTGAGAGAAAGAGAGATGGCAGGGATATTGTTAAAGTATTAAAAAGAGGACAGATAAGGGATTATATAGAAGATACAAAGCATCTCCTTCGAGACTGAAAGAAGAGCTCTATGGTAAAAAGTTGAGATAAAATAATGTAGAAAGATGAAAAAAAACGGAGTGAAACCTAAAGCAGGGGAAAAAAGTAGATGAAAATATGATGAGAGACTTTGAATTTCTAAGCAACGAAGTGCTGTCTCATAGATACATCTTGCGCCAAATAACATTGACAAAAATAGTACGTCGAGAAATTAATAATACATCAAAAAAGTTGCGTATGCAAGCTCTTAAAATCCGATATTCCTTTTCCAACGATAAAACAAAAATGACATAAAATTGCTATAATTTTTGGGAACATATATATGTATGCTACACTTTGAAAAATATCTTAAAATAAACACAATCCCTTGACAGTCCAAATGCGAGAAGTTAAGTTCTTTTTCCACGGATTGCAACGACGCATTCGTCCGAGACAATAAAGCGAAAGTTGAATGTTAAATAAAGGTTGGGTGAAGATAATATAAAGGGATGTTCTAAAATCCGATATTCGTTTTCTAGCGATAAAACAAAAATGACATAAAATTGCTATAATTTTTGGGCATATATATGTATGCTACACTTTGAAAAATATCTTAAAAAAACACAATCCCTTGACAGTCCAAATGCGAGAAGTTAAGTCTTTTTTCCACGGATTACGCGACGCATTAGGTGGAGATAATATAAAGGGATGGAAAAAAAGGGGATAGAGGTAAGTTGGTGAAAAATAAAATGGCCGTGACGATGCATCTTCCTCGGAGCCGAAGACGACGCTTTTGACGGTGTTCCTCTTTAAAGATAACGAAGCGAGTTCTTCGCGGAACAAAGCTTGGTAACCGCCGCAGCGGTCGCCGGAGTGTTTGCCGAGACTGTCTCCAGCAGCGCGACAAGAGCGACAGGTGGCTCCGTGCGCTCGCTTTTTCACCCCTTTCTCTCTCTCTCTCTCTCTCTTTGCCGCGTTTCTCCCCGTCCGTCATTTCCTCCTGATTCTTCGCCCCCGAGCTCGCACGCACCGCTGGCACTTGCTCGGGGGTGTGATTTAAAGTGTAAACTTAAATATTCCAGTTGGTACCTTTGTGCAAATAGATTCGATATTAATGGAGCTTCAGCGCCTCATCCACGGAAAGAGAGAGAAAGAGCGCTCGGGAATGTCTGAACATCCGGCGCAGGAAATTTTAATGGCGAATCGAGAGTTACTTTGCTTAATATATTTCCTGTAAAAATTAAAAAAAAAAAAAAAGAGGAAATATGAAGATGCAAACGAAGTTTTTATGAGTTAAGATATTGATATATATTTTATAGATATAATGAGACAAATAAAAAAATTTGTGACGTGAACCCTTAGAGAAGATAACACCTAAAATAAAGTATTCTTTTTTTTTCGCTCGAAAATTCTTCTGTGGTTATCCCATCCAGCTCTATCAAAGAAATTGCAAGTAACCGTCTCGAACAATGCGCAAAACGTTTTCAATCATCTTCCTCTGCTTCCTTTCGAATGATTGATTTATAGATAGATGATATGGCATAACCATTATATCTCGGTTTAAAATAATTATTGATTTGCTCTTATCGAATCTACGGTGGACTTACCTGTTTTCCGCATGTATAGGAAGAGAAAGATATTTCGCGTTATGTGACAAATAAAAATTTGAAAAATCCATGTTAGTTCAAGTGACAGAGCTTTTAACGAAATAATATTTCCATTTTTTTACACCCGTGTTGAAGTAAATATTTGCGAAATATCTTGCTTCCAATAAAAATATGAAAAAGCAGCGGTAGTCCTCGTCTTCGACACCTTCCTCACCAACACATTAACGTTCTATAAGCGTTTCAGGAATGCTCGAACCTTAACGTTCATAAAACATGTGAATCCATCTAGTCAAACGTTACAATACTTACCATTCATTATTGAGGCTTATTCAATAAAATTTTAAAAGATTGCAAATTTAATTGGGCACATCGGTATTCTCTGTGCACTATAAAAATATAAAGACACAATTCTTCGAGTGATACAAGTCTTTGAATTTTTGCTGTTCCACATCGTTAAAGGAACAAACCATTTGAAACGGAAAACGTTTACATAACGTTAATGTGTCGGTCGGGTCGCTAATCTACAAGGAAGGAAAAGAGGAGTCGCATGAAATACACATCCGTCGTATATTAGAGAAAAATAAAGGAAGCTTTTATTCTTCACATATCATAGCAGGCGATACGAGTCGGCCGCGCGTGAACGCGCGCGTCACCAACGACGCAGAGATATAAACGAATATCGGTAGGAAGATCGGGCCGGTAGGGGGTCTTGGGGTACACGGTAATGTCACGGTAAGAAGGGATCCTCCTCTTCCTCCTCGTCGCGCGAGGTCGTACAGAACACGCACTGTCTTCCTTCTCTCCCTCATCATCGTGTCTTCGTCATCACCCTCTCGCTCGTTCCGCATCGTTTCGTCAGGTCACGCCAAGATCGCCGCCAGTTTGTGCAGATTCGTTATGGTCGTCGCGTCTCCCGGCTGCAATCTGAGGGCCTCCCTGTAAGCCGCGGCGGCCTGCTTGTACTTGCCGTTCAGGTGTAGGATCGCCCCGAGATTCGTGTGACTGCGGGCCTCGCGCGGCCTCAGATTCGCCGCGTGTCGATACCAGATCTCGGCCTCGTCGCGACGATCGACCTGCCGAAGCGCCGAGGCCGCCGCGACTGACAGTTCGTAGTCGGAGCGCGACAGCTCGGCCGCTCGCAGCTGTTCTTCCGCAGCCTCCACCAAGCGGCCCTGCGACGTCAGGAACAGCCCTGAAAATTTCGCCAACCAAAACGTTGTCGTGTGTCGCGAGGAATCGTACCGCAGAATTTGCTCGGTTTTATTGTGTCATACGCGCAGAGAATTTTTTTCTTTCGATTTATCCTGAAAATCGTGTAAGTTTATTTATTACAATAAAATCTATTAATTTTTATTTTACACATATTCATATTTTTTTTATGATAAATATTTTTTATCAAAAAGACTCCTATCAAATTCTTCCAATATCATATTGTCGCACGATTACATCGTGATTTTCAGGGTAAATTCCAAGAGAAAATTCTCTCCGTGTAGTTAATTTAATTATTTGTTTTAGACTTGTTACGCGCTAACTCTAGTAACTGTGTATTTAATTATATACGAAGATCTGCAAAAATGATCTGTATATAAATATAATTCAGTTAACGTCGTTCGTATAAATATTCGTTTTTTACTCCGAAGTAGATTAAAAAGTTTTCTCGAAAACTTTTTTGCGAGGAATGTTTTCCATCGAGGAAATTTGAAAAAAGGATATGGAATTGAAAAATTGAAAAAAAAAAAAAAACAATATTTTTACAGCAATATTGTTGTCTTTGAGAAAGAAACTCGATGAAACAGTTTTATATAATTAAGAAGAAAATAAAACCCTCGTCTTTAAATCCTTCTATAATATCACATAGAGAGCTATTCCATTTTATTATTAATTCTAAAAAATAAGAAACATCCAACTTTGCAAATTACATTTTCTGCATTTAATAATAAACGCCTTCTTTAAGTGAATGGGGAGGAAAAAAAAAGGTCTCGATATCTCGCGCGCGAATTAACGCGCCCCGAAAGTCTGAAGCGCGTCGACGCGTTTCTTTCCGGAATTTCAATACCCGTCGGTTTCCGCTCTCTTTGCGTCTCGATTCATCCCCTTTGATATCCTCCTTTTTTTTTCGATTAGCCTCCCTTCTTTCTCCACCAAATCTACTATCATCCCGCAGGAAATATTACAGCGGTATTTATAGCGGCTCGAGAGCGAAAGAAGACTGCGATCCTCTTATCTCTCCCTTCCCCATTAAGCGACTCTTCGAATCTCGGTTCTTTGATTCTTCCCCGACGCCGAAACCCACCTAAGCGGCCGAGAGGGAGCCTCGAGAAGCTCTCCTTTTCAGGACAGATTCGGGGATTGGGAATCAATTATACCATTGTTACAATGGGGGCTTCGACTGCGGCGACCAATAAGAGAGGGATACGTTCGACCTAACCGGATGCAAAGACGGGATACTTAAGAGAGCGTATTTCATTGCTTTAATAATGAACGAGGGTCCCTTATCACCGCCGGCGACGACCACAAATACGGGGCGACATTAGATATTTAAATTGCGACGCGGTCGAGAAACGAATTCCGGCGCGACGAGAGAAAAAATGAGATGGTGGAGAAGAAACCGGAGACGTCTACTGGTCGAAATTCCGAGGACGCTTCTCTCCCCAGGTCGCAATTAAAGGAGATTTCGATCAAGCCTTACCGTAATGATGGTGCACGCTGGGGTCGTCCGGCGCCAATCTGCGGGCCCTCAGGAACCATCTCTCCGCTTCCAGGACGCGGCTCGACTAAAGAGAGAGAAAGCAGAGGCGACTTGTGAGCCACCGCAAACTTGATAGCCCCTTCTGTCCCCCCTCCCCCTGGCGGTTGCTACCGGCTGAGGAGCTTGTTCTATTGCATTGGACAACATTTTCGAATGTATTATATTTGGTGAATTGTGTGTGTGCACGCTGAATATTAATGTAAGGTAAACGTCCCAGTGGTTGAACGATTAAGGTTTATTTATTAATATTTTTATTATATAAAAACAAGAAATTTTCTTAAGGATTTGCATTTATCTTGTAAACTGATATCTTTATTATGATGTTTTCTAAATCGGCCAACAGAGCCAAAGAACGAAAAATTGCGAAAATTAATCATTCATTTATTAATATTTTTATTATATAAAAACAAGAAATTTTCTTAAGGATTTGCATTTATCTTGTAAACTGATATCTTTATTATGATGTTTTCTAAATCGGCCAACAGAGCCAAAGAACGAAAAATTGCGAAAATTAATCATTCATTTATTAATATTTTTATTATATAAAAACAAGAAATTTTCTTAAGGATTTGCATTTATCTTGTAAACTGATATCTTTATTATGATGTTTTCTAAAATCGGCCAACAGAGCCAAAGAACGAAAAATTGCGAAAATTAATCATTCATTTATTAATATTTTTATTATATAAAAACAAGAAATTTTCTTAAGGATTTGCATTTATCTTGTAAACTGATATCTTTATTATGATGTTTTCTAAAATCGGCCAACAGAGCCAAAGAACGAAAAATTGCGAAAATTAATCATTCATTTATTAATATTTTTATTATATAAAAACAAGAAATTTTCTTAAGGATTTGCATTTATCTTGTAAACTGATATCTTTATTATGATGTTTTCTAAAATCGGCCAACAGAGCCAAAGAACGAAAAATTGCGAAAATTAATCATTCATTTATTAATATTTTTATTATATAAAAACAAGAAATTTTCTTAAGGATTTGCATTTATCTTGTAAACTGATATCTTTATTATGATGTTTTCTAAAATCGGCCAACAGAGCCAAAGAACGAAAAATTGCGAAAATTAATTATTCGGAACTGTATCTCTTGGTACGAGATTATACAAAGTTCCATATATAAATTAATCTCGAAACTTACATATGGAGAAAATAGGCGAGAAAAATATAGATATCTTTATTGTTTAAAAAGCATATAAAAAATTGTTTTTATTAATTTTATTTTATAAAAATATATTAAAATATGAAGCTGTGTAAAAGTATACTAGTGTTTAAACGATAAAAACGCGTTTGTCCTAATGGTTGAACGAAGCTGTCCCAATATTTGAACATAGCAAAGTTATAATTATAGAAATAATTTGTCTTCGAAATTATCTAAAATATAACAAGAAATGAAAAATAAAACGAATGTTCACATACAATTTTTGGTTAACAAAGATTATCTGTCATAATATTTTCCTCGTTCATTATGACATTTAAATTTTATTACTAAATTAATTGTAGATTTTTAAAAAATATTAAAATACTTACATTTTTAATGAAATTGAAACGAAAAAATTACGATTCAAACGAAAAAAAAACGATAAATAAACAAGTTTTGAGTACCAGTAAATAAACACTAAATTTATCATATTTAAATGAATTTGTTTAATTAAATAAAAATTTTAATTTAATATAGTAACTTCTTTTACGAATCAAAATAACTTTTACTTGTTATAATAGCGTTTATATAAAAAATACACACACTTAAGTACTAAATGACGTTTCTTAACTAGATAGTTAAGAAGCTATTGAAAGAATGAATAAAAGTAAGCCGTCATTTAAAAAATAATTTTTTTCTCATAAATCTTTTTTTCTTCAATCCGTTTTCTTTTTAATAAATATTAAGAAACGTTAATTTTTAATTTTAATATAATATTTGTAACTGTATGTATTAGGAAAAACTTAATAATTATAAATATGTATTGCATCGTTCATACATTAGGACGCGTTCAACCACTGGGACATTTACCTTATCTCGAGAAATCAAGTAAACAATGAAACGCGTTTGGACGTATTAAAAAAATTGAAATTCTTTAAATTACAGTGAGAGCTTCAATTTTCTTTTTGCCATAGAAATATGTCGCAATTTTTGTTGACAAATTCGGTCCAATATACAATACGTCCATTCGCAAAATCCGAACGTATCACGGAAAAAAAGGAAAAAAAAAAAACGATATCTGCTAGAAAAATCAGAAAAATAGATTTATATTCAACGCTGAATTTCCTACAAGAAAAAACTGTATATATATTCGATATATTCTAAAAAAACTTTGCTTGTCATCCATTGTTATTGTTGAAACCACCGGGGTACAATCGATATCTGAACGCGAATGTAATATATATATATATATATATATATATATATATATATATATATATTCAGCTTCAGAGATGTACAAGAGCCGAGGAGGAGCAGGGGACCTTTATGCGTTGACCCAAATAAATTTATGCGCGACGCGTTGTGTATCTCGCCCAGTAGTATAGTTTCTCAAGTGGTAACGCTCGATATCTAGTCAGACGACTCGAACTCGGAAGAACGTAGATCGCGATAAGATGAGGCGGCGAGCGACGACGTACGGGCGAAATTTCAAAGCGGGGGCTACTTACGTTCCGTGCCAAAAGTTTCCCGTAAGTGATGTGGGCCGGCACGTGGTCAGGCTGGCTGGCCAGACTCGCTTGGAACCACCTCTCCGCCTCCGCGTACTGTTGCAGTCTGGACAGCGTTTCCCCTAGCAGATTATACACGCTCTGGAAAAGAAGAAGCGGGACTTTTCTTCAGTGTGTCATCTAATTTCCTTTCCCGCCGACAAAGTTCTCGCACTTTTCCTTCCATCTACTTTGAGCTCTCTCAGGGTGTCTAGCGGTCAGGGAAATCTGGAAAGCCGGACATTGTCAGGGAATTTTATAAATCTGGTCTTGTCAGGGAAAAGAGAGTCAGGAAGTTTTGCTATTTATCTGGATTTTTCACATTATTCTACATTTGTCTCAATAATTTGAAATTTCTTATTAAATAAATATCAATTTTTCTTTTATTTTATTTTATTTCAATGTGTTATATATTTGAAAAATATTATAACATTGCTCGAGAATTATAATATTGTTCAAGAACTTCATTTTAATTCATTTTTTTATCAAAACTTAATACATTAATTATATAATTGATTTAAATTTTTGTTTTTTTTTTAACTTTCGAACCTTTTCATTGTTGACAAAAATATCTCGAGAATTTCATGATTTAATATTTAATTGATTTATCATATATATGCAAATTATATATTTAGAAGAAATAATACTAAAAAGTCAGGGAATTTTATAAATCTGGTCTTGTCAGGGAAAAGAGAGTCAGGAAGTTTTGCTATTTATCTGGATTTTTCACATTATTCTACATTTGTCTCAATAATTTGAAATTTCTTTATTAAATAAATATCAATTTTTCTTATATTTTATTTTATTTCAATGTGTTATAAATTTGAAAATATATTATAACATTGCTCGAGAATTATAATATTGTTCAAGAACTTCATTTTAATTCATTTTTTTATCAAAACTTAATACATTAATTATATAATTGATTTAAATTTTTGTTTTTTCTTTTAACTTTCGAACCTTTTCATTGTTGACAAAAATATCTCGAAAATTTCATGATTTAATATTTAATTGATTTATCATATATATGCAAATTAAATATATATTTAGAAGAAATAATACTAAAAAGTCAGGGAATTTTTTTCATTGAGTCTGTTGGACATCTTGTCTCTGCTCTCTCTTTTTGACTTACATAAAAAACACACTCTCTTTTCCTCTGCTTTTCGGAGTAGACTTTTTTTCTAACGAAAATGCAATTGCACGCCACCTCTATTCATAACTTTTTAACAACTTTAAACGTGCAGCTTTAAATATCATTGTAATTAACACCGTAATTAGAGATACTTTTTTTTCGCAGACAAAAGATATATTTAAGATAGATTTAAATGAAGAGGAAGACTCTGTGTCTGCGCGAGCTTAATTCGGGAAAATTCAGAGATTTTTCGATAATTTATGTCATTGCAAAGAAGATTATGCTCCAAATATATATATGTCTTTTTCTTCAAAGAATTTAAAGAACCGTACATTTAAGACTCAATCTCCCTTTCACTTCACGCTACTTAAATATGCAAATACGGTTACAAAAAATGCGGTAAGCACGAGCGACGCTTGAAAAACGCACGAACGCGAGACGCAACAACCGGGAGAGAGCTATATTTACGAGAAAATCACGTGTGGATCGAAGCGCGAGAGGGTTCGTTAGCGTGCCGAGAGAGAATTATGCTAATAAATTCAACAACTAATAAATTTGTCGACAACTAATTCACAAAGCGTAACAAATTGCCGCGATGTATACGGATGCGTGTGTACGCGTTTTAATGCGCGTTAAAATATAATAATAAGCTCTTAATTACCTTCAATTTAGAAAATGTGATTGCAAGCGGCAGAATGCTGAAATGTGCGCCGCCGCTGTGTAATTAATTGCGCTTACAATGTGAAGGATCGTACCCGAAATTTTCACCATCCGAATGAATCCGCGATATGCTATTTTAACACGTACAATAAATAAAGAAGACGGGGTGAGAATAATCGATTCCGGAGTTCGGATCCTCGCGCTTTGGAAAGTTTTCAGAGTCGGAGGTTGTTGCTCTAATTATTATTATCGTTTCACTAAAAAGACAAACGTATGTTTGTTCTAGTAATATTCTTTGGAATAATTCGTTTTTTTTTTTTACAAAAATCATAGATGATTAATATTTGTCACAACTTCATATTCTTGTTAAAAAATGTTAAAATAAAAATTAAAGTGTAAAACATAAACAGTAAAAAAGAAATTAACAGAATGAATTAAAAAAAAATTAAATTAAGACATTAAAAAGTTAAAATATTATCAACGTTAAAATTTGTTTAACGTACTATATTGCTCGAAAATGAGATTAGAGGCTTATAAACGTTAAAAGAGAATTAATTTCAAACGAGATTGCATTTCCACTTTATATCTTTTTCCGCAATATCCTGTCTGACACATACAACACTCGCACGGAAGTAGCAAAGCGATCGGGAGCGCGTCACGACGCGGCTAACATCGAAAACCTTCTTCCCGGGCGCACATGAGAGACCGCAGAGTTCGCGTCCCGAAGTTGTAGTAGGCTAAAACTTTTATGATTTTGCTCGAGGGAGGGAAAGAGCCCGCGAGCCATCGGGTGGGTTATTGAGGGGCGAAGTCTTTCACGGGTAGAGAAGACAAATGGCAACGCGCGAACGAGAGACAGGAAAAGAACGACCTCGAATATCCCCGACTCACAGTCGTCAGACTCGATTGCCTCGTGATTCAATGGATCCCGCGGTTTTCTCACCGCCCTGAAACCGTCTCGTAGGAAATTGTCGGTTTTCCGCGATTCCAATCGCCGGCAAAATTGGAATGTTAATTGATACTTTTATTCGAAACGCTTTATTACGCTTGTATATTAAAAACTCGTAGTTGAGCAAATTATTTTTAGATAAAAATATTTCGTTGTAGAATTCGTGGAATAATTTCGATTTAAAACTGCACATCATAATTACATGTATATTACTTTATCGATAGTCGAAAATGTGTCTACACTGTCGCGAAGGATGGAATAACAATTAAATTAGCTGCCGCGCGAAAAAATGAGGCTGCGCATGATGAATAGAAAAAAAAAAATGAATTTTTCCCGCTTCTCTCGCGTGTCATTCGGAGACACCTTCCACAGGATTTCGGGATTCGAGGACGAGGACGTGTTTGCGCCTATTTCTTTGCACAATTGAACGCGTAATCATGTCCGCGCACGAACGAATGTCGCCGCTTTGTGCGATCGCGATCATTATTTTCTTACTCGCGCGCGACAAAAATGCTCGTCGACTTCTGAATGGGAAAAAGTCGCGCTAGACGAGCGAGACGTCGCTTGCATATCGCGTCAAAGAATTGCGCCGGCAAAGCGACCGGCTTTCCCCATCGAGCGTGCTCGCATTGTTCCGGATCATTATTCACTTGGACTACTTTTCAAGGATGTTGCGCGTACTTGCTTAGGCATAATGCTCGCTCGAGCTCGCGGCACACAAAGCGCTGCTTCTACCGATCGACACACGGCTTTTATGCACTCGAGATGGTTCTCACGCCTTTCTGCGCCGAAGCTGAGGAATAATGATCTCGGGGGTCGCGCGCATCCCATTTACCGTAATACCGCGATATGTGTGACGTATAGTAACGTGTGTTTCGAGAGGGATGAAGAGAGACTCGATCTTTTTTTTTTTTTTCACGTAACTATTTCAAAGATACGACGGTGTTTTAAAGGGATGCTGCCGTAGTTCTGTTTTACCGATGTCGGGTTCACTTTTTTATTGAATATACAGATTGAAAAATCCTCCACAATAACAGTACTGGTAATAATAAATGGGGAGCGCTGTGATTTCGTATAAAAAACCAATAATGTTAAAAAATTACATAAAATAAAAATAGTAATTAGCTCTGTTAAACTTAATAATTGTAAACAAAGAAGGGCTATATTGATTTAAACGAAATAATAAATACATAAGAAATAAACATTTATGCGAACGTTTCGGCTGACATTTCAAGCCTTCTTCAGCGCAATACAAATATTTTAATTATAAATTGAATTGTAATATTAAAACATTAAAAAATTACAGTTTTTCAAGTACGAGAATCTTTCGATACAGGCTTTTTAATCTCATTTTTATTACTTCTGTATTATTCTTTCATGTCATCTCTATTAGGAGCGTTATATTTTGTGCACAAATAAACTGCAGAACTTTTGTATTAAATAACTATTGTTACGAGCTGATGCAAGAATAATGATAAAAAAACTGTAATTTTTTATTGGTTTTTTATACGACATTACAGCGCTTCCCGTTCATTATTATCAGTACTTTAATTGTAGAAGGATTTTTTTTAATCTGTATAACCAACAAAAAGAAAAGCCCTTAAACTCAAAGTTGGTAAAACAGACATGGTCCGCATTCCCTTAAAAAGTTAAAGCAAATTCAATATTTTGAGATATATAATTCAGTTAGAGATGTACAACAAATAATTATATCATTTTTTTTATGTAATCACTCTCCTTTTCAATACAAAAATATTTTTGATTATGTCTTCAGAAATGCATCACTTGTTTGATTTTAACGCAGCATCCTTCATGCAGCCCTGATCTTGCTCCTTTTGATTTATCATGTATTTGGATCATGAAAGATGCTTTAAGAAGTCAAAAATGTGGGAATGATGATTAATTTGATGATATTATATTAATTTGCCGTTATTTGTTGAAATACTCTCGTGCTTTAGGTGTCAATTCTCATTCTTTGAATTTTAAATGAATTTTTCTTCGCAAACGCATATATAAGTCAAAATGTTCGATATGAAATTTTCCATCTCGAAAACTTTGAGTCTCTTAAATTTTCGACAACGCTAAAGCCAATTAATTGAGAACAACGCTTTTATGCAGTTGTACATACACTCGTGAAACTTAATTGCAATTATTTCGATTCGTTATGATTTTTTTAATCAAGGGCTAATTAAGTTTGTATATACCCCGCTATTCCAATTATGCATCTCATCGTTCGGCGAACCTTCAAATTTCCTGTAATTATAAAATATCTGGCTATTGCGCGCACTCATCGCGTAATTACTCGCGATGCTTTCCCGTCCGTGTTTACATTTATGTCGCAGTCAACGAGTATTCGGCAAT